TTTCTCCCCTACCGTATTGGAATTTCTTAGTACCGGCTACTAGTTACAAAAATCCTACGTATGTATAGGATATGCGGTATTTTATATCGTAAGCGTTAACAGTTCGCAACGATAGGACCTTCGCGAAACTTTTTCGCACAATTTCACCAACGGCTACGACGAGTGCGAAGAAACGAAAAATGGATGGGGAAAAAATTTCGAATCCGAGTCGGTTTCGCCGAATTTCATTTTCACTTCCGTTTAATCCGTACGACGAACGAAAATGAGTGAAAATTAATTTTGGTAGAGGCGAGATGAGAAAAGCAGCGACTGCGAGAATACGAATACGAATCGAACGAGTTTCGCGAAGTATCTTATGGCCGCAAATAACCGGCGGATTACAAACTGAACGTGTTACATAATTCGTAGTCTTCGTATATTTTTTTTTTCTTTTTTTTTCCCTTATCGAGCGTTATCCACTAGTACAGAGTTTATATTTTGCTGTGTGGTTAATTATGTACTCATTGTTCCAAGAGCCTACTAATATAAGTCATGCACTTGCAAAATGTTTTTTTTCTTTTTTTTTTTTTTTACTTAGAAATCGTCTTACAATAGTAATTTTTTTTTCTTCGTTTGTTCACTCGTTAGTTTACATTTTACACGTCGTCGCGTCGTCTGATAGATCTCTACGTTTGTAATTCTTTTTTTCGTTTTTATCCTTTGTTCACGAGTAGAAAAGCTTCATTTTTTTCGTCTTTTTATTTTTATTTATTTTTTTCTTTTTGTATTCCCTTGCTGCACGTTCTGTCCACTAATTCAAGCATGTTATAGATATGATAAGATATCGCCTCGTTATTTTTTTTGTTTTTTTTTCTATACATCCTCCACGTAGAAAGGTCGATCGATTACCCGGTTACCGGATGGTTTATCCTATCTGATAGAATTCGTCGCGAAATGACCGAGTTCCACGTTAACCTTGTCCATCCTTCCCCCGATTCCGTTCCCCGAGCTAAGCCACGAATCGCGATTACGTTTCATCCCTCTGCACGTCTCGTTTGGACTATATCTCCGTGGAATGTAGAAATTTCGCGCGACGACAGCGGGGGCAACATGGCGGAGTGCAAAGGCAAGAAGACGATGAGAGAATAACCGCGGGAACTGAAAGGGCAAACTCGAAAGGCACGCCGAACGAAAGGAACGAATGGAAAATCTGTGGATATTAACGCGGTGTGGTCACTGACGGCAACGAAACTCGACGATTGCAAATTTATCGCTCGAAACTTTCGACCTGGACGCCCAGCGAAACGCTAGATATCCGGAGAAATTAGACACCCCCCCCCTCCCCCCCTAGAGGATTCCGTGTGGTCTTTGTGCGGTGGTTGAATGGCTATTAAATCTGTGACTCTGTTTCAGTGACGCCGATCAATATCCGAGGAGTACCTTCTCGCGAAAAGGCAAGAAACGAGGAGCGAAGCGATGTAAGGGAACACGAACTGAATTTTTCCTCACGAAGAAAGGACGACCACGTTTCTCAACGAACTGTACTTGCGATGGAAGAGCG